TTTTTTTTTTTTTTTTTTTTTTTTTTTTGGTACAGTCGTTTACAAGTGCCGAATAAAACGCAGGAGATTTTGTAATTTTCTGTTTAAATCTCTTCAAGACTTGCAAACAGACCAAACTTTCCGGAACATGCCAGTGTTTCAGACTGACTGGCTGGCTGACTTCCAATGCCCTGATCGTAAAGTCCGATTCTAAACTGAAGCACAGTTCTTGACTCGCGTAAAGGCCCACAGCTAAAATGAGGCATGGGGGGGAGAAAACACAACTCACCGAGTGCATAGGCCCAGAGAGGAGGTGAGTGTCCTGACCCAGCATGTTGGACATCATGAGGGCAGGCAGCTCGGGATAGGAGTAGGTGTTGAGCAAGCCGTTGTGAGGCAGAGAGTGGAAGGGGTAGCCCGACTCGTGCTCTGTGAGGTGAAGTAGAGAAGGGTCGACGTGGTTTGGAGGCGTGATGGGGGGAATCTCATAGTCTTCGTCCCCTGTGCCTCCTCCTCCACCCCCTCCTCCTCCTCCTCCACCGCCGCCGCCGCTGCCTCTGCCCTGACTGGAGTAGCTCTGAAACGAGATAAAACAGCGGGGAGTGAACTCAGAGAAACCCGTACCGGTTCTTTTATTGTCGCAACCAAGGCATTTTTGAACACAATATATAGATGAACAGGAGCAGAAGGAAAATAATTTGATCACTCAAACAGACTATTTTACGCAGGGATGCGCTGAAAACCCGGAATTGGGTGATTACCCGATCAGATGGTTGAAAACGGAAAAATTCAATCTATTTCTGATGCAAGAGCTACAAAAACGCTGGTGTGGAAATGGTTTCTAAGTGAGAGATGGGGTCTTTGTTTTGAAATATTATTCCTGTTTTATTGCAGAGCTGTGTAAGACCAGCTTCTCTCCGTTTTACACATGCAGTTTGACATCACTTCTGGGCCTGCTAAGAAAAATTAATGACCAATCGTAGAAATATTTCTAGAGGCTCCTGAAAGAATAAATAACTTAAAAATCTGCACATAAAAGAAAGTCTGTGCTTTTCCCTTTTTGTTTTAAAGATGTTTTGTTGGAGACCATTTATTATCCTGTGACATGGGGCGCCGCTACATTTTGTCTTTGCAACAAAAGTGTGAGCTGCAGCCTATTTTGATAAGGAATAAATTAAATATAATGTGATTTATTTGAACACGGTTACATTAAGTGGAGAAATTTACTGTACTCAATAGATTTTCAGTGACACAGAGAGCTGTAGCGCTCCGTCTCTGAACGGTACGAGAGATTTCAGGCTATTTCATTGAAAAATCATGGCTTTCTGAAATATTCTGCTCATAGTAGAATTTTCAATTCACCCAGAAATGAGAAGTGCGTGTTGCTGCTGTTCACAGGGCTTAAAGAGAAATTACATTTGGCTGAAATCTGAATTGGAAATTGGTCGCAATGTCTCCAATTTGCTCAGCCGTAGTTTCATAATTGCTGACAAAACAGAACGTAGAGAACTGCGTCGGATACAAATTAAAACCGGATTATATTTTAAAATGCGTTTCTTCTTTATTTAAAGTGTCACATGTGGAAAACATAAGGAAGATTGTTTGCGTTCTTTCATCTCCAAGGAATAAACAAAGTTAATAAAAAAAAAACTAACTTTTGTGAAACATCTTACCAAACGAGTTCCAGACTAAAATAAGAAAACTCTCTAATTAGCTTCTGAATGCACCTGTTTACTTGTGTTGTTTACACTCCAGTTTGCAGCCTTTGCAGACACAGAACTGCAGCAGTTTAGTTAGGAGTGTTTCGTGCTGCAAATAAAAAATAATTAGAAATGCAAATTGTCGCACTTGGAAAAGTGTAAAGAATTCGTTCGGTACAATCGTACGGAGCAAATTAATTAGTTAGACAACAACAGCTGCTATACGGAATAATTTGCTTCAGAAATCTTGACAGCTTTGAAGCAACAAACTGTCAGCCCTGCACGCCTTAAAAAAAGAAAGAAAGAAAAAAAAAACAGTGAATCAAATTCATTACGTGGAAAAACACACCACAGAGAGTCACTTAGTTGTTATTTTATAATCCCATAATTACTGTGGCAATTTTGTTTATATAAACAGAAAACCTGGACTGTACAAATCTCCCACTTCTCATTATGGAATAAATTCAGAGTATCCAGCTGTTGAAGCAGGAGAACATTTTATGGTGCTAATAAGGTGATACACGAGCAGTGTCTTTTCCAGGGCCTATCTTGACATAATGTTGCACAGAGAAATATGGTTTCAGGCTCTCAAAAAGCACACTGAGGGTATTCACCAGGGAGTGAAAAGCAATTTTGTCAGAGGCAATCTGATGCCAACTCCCTTTTATAATGACTGAAGAAAATTAATCATCACAAATAATATTCCAGTGTCAGCCATTCAAGAGCTTTTTAATAGAATTTTTATTATTCATGTCTCGTGGTACACATCAACTAGTCCGTTCTGCAACATTTCAGAAATCAATTCAATATCATCTTCATGTAGGCTGTCATCTCGCCTGCCAGCGCAGCAATTCATCTTGAAAACAAATACTTTTAGCAAACAAATGGCAAGAAACGCCGCAAAAGAAAAAAAAAAAAAAAGAAAAGAGCCCTAGCTGCAATGTGCTCACCAGTAGAACCGGTGCTTGAAGACAGGATGAAAAGTCTCATAATGTGCACTATCATTAGGGAGAAAATAATCATCATAATAAAAGAGGAGTATGTTTACTATCACGGGGTGATGTGCTATTTTCTCTTCCCATAACTGTTATTGCTCAGAGCTAGTTTGGAAATATTGTCTGCAACATTTTTTTTTTCTTTTTGTCCCATTATAAGAGATTTGTGCATTTCTTTGACATTTAGGATGTATTTGTTGCTGTTGTCGGTTGTTATTGTTAACAAAAACGACATGCCGATATGCTTCAATGTATTAAACAGTTTAGCATCCTGCATTCACTGGTCATCCAGCAGGTCAGATCGTTCAAAGATTAGTTATAGGTGTGTGTGGCCAGCAACACCTGCATATTTAAGCAGACAGAAGTGCTCATAATCTTGTCACTATGACACTTTGCTATATAAATCAGAGATCATACATGTGGATTTGACCGATTGAGGATAACTACCATCGAATTTCATTTGTGAAAAGAACATTTTTTTTTTCGGCCCACTGAATTCTGATGTGGAGATATTCACTACCGCTGAAATGCCCAAGAGGCTTTTCTTAATGAATACTTAAATTAAAACAAGAGCGCTGTTAATTTGGGTGTGAGATTATCAGAATAAATGTCCAACTTTAAAGTAAACTAAATAGAGCAGAATGCATTAATTGTAATGGTAACAAGCAGGCCAAAGTTGACACAGATATTTTAGGACCAATTCCCAATGTTTTGTCTAAACTATTTCCATTTATTAATATTATCTGTCATTATTTGGTGTGAGTGTATGAATATTAGCCTCAGTTTTTGATCTATATTCTGCATATGGTGGTTGTTGCACAGCATTGATATCTTCACTGCACATAAAATCCATGCTGTAAGTCTCCCAGGACCCATTTTTAAATTTTTTTTCAAAATAATAAGGCAGCAATCATATTGGATTTCCGAATAGTTTTTACACTTGTGCATCGTGAGCTGGCTGGTCAGGTGAACCACACGCCATAATTACAACACTCCACTGACCCACAAAGAATGGCTTGCCACTATAGAAATCAGCAGATGCAGGGCTGTGAAAACCTCACTTGGTAAGGCAGGGGTGTCACAGGAGTGGACTGAGCTCTGGCCCCCTCATCACATCAGTACTTTCAAAGAGACTCATGGAAATTTTATTAAAAATAAAAAAGCGCTTAAAGTGTTGTGTGGCTACTTTTGGCTTTTTTGGCGGTCATAATTTCTTCGTTGGACCAAAATCGTCCTCAACGGAAATAGAGAGCAACATGAAATACTGCACAACTAAACACAATTTTACACAAGTTGTGGACGTCTTATGGTTGTCTGAGACAATTTTTATTACCTCCATGCACTCCATCAAAAACACTGTAGCTACCAAAACGAATAAAGTACCTGAAGAGTGCTAATGATGTAGAAGATTAAAGCAAGTTTGTCTGCTATTTATGTGCATACATTTACATCTATGGGATTTTACCTCATGTTTAAGTGTGTCTCGAATCTGCTTAAACAGGTATGTTTACATCACTTTTATCTCCACATCTCTACTGAAATGATGAAGTTGATAGAGAAGACGTGCAACGAGATTTAAACTCATCACATAAAGAGAGAGAGAGAGAGAGAGAGAGAGAGAGAGAGAGAGAGGTCTTTTCTCCGACTACATTTGCATGTAGTAGGAATTAAATGCTGTGGGAGGCTATTTTATGACCATACCGTCTGTTACTTTCATGTATTTTCCCCCCCCTTTGCAGCTTTTTATGATGCCCTTGGAGATAAGACGCAGGACAAGGACATCACAAGTTTAACATTTTCCAACATGGATAAATAATTCATAAATATACTGTCTTCCAGGACATGGAAAAGAGGAGATAAAAGAAAGCGGGTCAAAAAGAAACACCAAATGTTGATTCAGCCTTCCCTCGCTGTGACCTTCAACCCCCCC